GCAACGTCACCGGCTATTACGACTATCGGTTTTTACGACCAAATATGAGTAGTCCCTTCGGTGTCGTTATAATAGATTTTGACTGTATTATGTAGGTGTTATAATAGTAAAATAATATTGATTTTTCTTCTCTCCATTTAACAACTCTTAATAACGCCATAAAATGCACTGTCCCTTAAGTATCCCTATATAGAGTTTATACTGTATATAATTTTGTACAAACTTATGCGCAAAAAGATTTAACCACTTCTTATTGTATATTATAAAAAAAAATAGTATCCGTACCCACTATTAACTTTATTGACATGGATAAATCACTTGGAACCCCAAACATAAACTACCACACTTCAATTATGACTCCCAAATGTGAGTATTCCACATAAACTTGGGTTTCTCGCATCACTGTAATGTTCTTTTTGTCCCGTACGGTATAATGTGCTGCCTTGTATCGGCTTCAAACAGTTACGCATAGGCGCGGTCTAGTTTATGTACGTGGAGGATGGTTGTTAGGAAACAGACTTACTGCTGGAGCTACCGAATCGCACAGAAGTTTTATTGTTTTTATTTACGGTTCGATTTAAATGCCACAGTTTATTGTAGTAAGGCTTCTGAGAGTAAGCTGTAATAGACGAAATTCTTGATTTCATAGAAGATACCCCAAAAGTATCTACTTTGTACACGTGAAATAGCGTTAACTCTCATATGACATTCTGGTGAATTAAAAAAAAACAGTAATAGTAATCATTTACAGTGAGTACAAGCCTTGCATCAAAATGATTTTCAATTGCGAGTGCATTTGTGTCAGTGGTTTCGGCAACAAGGTGTAATATTTTTTCACAGGGTGACACTTCCGAACGAATATTGCTTCATGAGAGACGAAATTTTAAATTTTAAATAACTAAATTAATTACTACTGCTATGACAAAAGCCAGTATTTATGCCAAAAACTCAGATGAATGGAAACAGCCATAAAAGAAGAAATAAACCTTGTGGACAGTAAGTGTTCTTTTTTTTTTATCAAAACGAACTTTTACCGTAAGCTGACGCACTACAAAATCCAACTTGTTGTAAGAGGTTTTTCGCAACAAAAACGTAATTATAGATTACGACAAAACGTTTTAACCTTTGCGGTGCACTTTGTAGTGCATTATAATTCTTTGTTACTTGTTAGGTGTTGAATATAACTAAGACATTTTGCACGCGCATGTGAAGTACTTTTTCATCGTGTTGTATGTGAAAATTGTGATATTACATTAGAGCCCGCAGAATCCAGAAAACACTAAACCGATTTTTGATAAAACCACTTGCTGTAAGTTTTTTGGAAGTCGCTATTGTTATTGCGTCATTAACTTTCGCAAACTGGTATTTTACACTCATTTGTGTTAAGAAGTCAACTTGAAAATATTCATGCTGTGAGAAATAAACTATCTTTTCGTACCAATGATGCCAATATAATATGCAATATGTCCATTCTAAATATTGGTGAAAGAATTTTTGAAATCGGATGATTAGTATGGGAGATTTTCTTCTACATCCAAACTTTAACTCATACATTTACTTGTTCTTGGTCAGAAATTAATGATATTATTAGATCTCATCAAAACGCCAAAGGCATTCTTGATAAATTACTGACACAAATAAACATTATTATACTATATTATTAATATGGTATTTTACTTGTTTAACACGTATGTAACCTGCATCATCGATTCAATTAGGCAAGTTGATATTACCTAGAATTATCATCATTAAATGAAGCGATCAAGATCGACGATACATTCATTCTGCAAAAAAATTACCCCACTGGACATTTTTAATTCAAAACGATGCGAGTCAATATTAATTTTTGAAAAACAGGTCCCACCAGAATGTAAAAATTCATGTTTAAAACAATTGATGAAATTATTCAACAAATTAATCTAGTTATTATTTACGTCAAAGCCCAAAGCAGTTACATACAAATGTGAAGAGCAAATTATTAAAAGAATGACCACTCAAAATTCATAATTACTTCGAGATTACTACAGACTTACCTTTTATTTTAATAATTGACTCCAAATTTCAACGGAACATTTCAAAAGCAATTTGGTAAATCTGTACCTCACTGGACCTACTAAAGATTCTCTTCTACTACAGTCAAAAAGAAAATGAAAAGATTGAAAGACTAAAGATTAACCAACCTTAACATCTTTAAACAAGAAAACTTAAAAACTGCCAAAATAAAACTAGAAACCATCTTCGAGAAATTAACTAGTTAACTCCAAGCGAAGTACACTATACTTACTCAAATAAACATCTCACCTATTTTAAGTATTTTTAAGGCGCAATTTAAAGTATTTCCTTAAATAAGGGGTTGTTATGTTGATTTAAAACTGACTGATTATAATAACGTTTTCTTTATTTTTCTCTCAAAATATGATCCTTATAAGGAAGTTTCGGTTTCGGTTTCGGACGAAACTGAGACCGTTGCCGAAATTCGGTTTCGGTTGTAAAAACCAGTTTCGGTCGGACACTACAATTAACTAAGCGAAAAACAGAAATTTAACATCCGTGAGAAAAAATATGTTATACAGTGTACCCAGAGTAATATAAATAATTTTAGAGATATTATGCGTGCTTAACTGGTGCTATCCGAATTGCTTTAAATCAAGTGTGCAATTAGTAAAGTGTGCTAATTTGCATAAAAACAAATCGAAATCAACTAACTCTTCAAAAGGAACATCGATTATCATTACAAAACTACCAAACAAGCTCACAACAAAAGAAGCTTCGACTTTAAGTATAACTTTTCTGTATAGCAAGATATGTGTCATATCTAAAGATTCCGAACTCATAAACATAGGTTCATTCTTTGACTCAATACTATGTAATCTGATTCTCTATAGATAGAACGATATGTTAAAAAAAACTTTTTTTGAGATGTTCACCGTGCAGATTTTAGTTTGTATAGACTCACACTCACGTAGATACAGTTTCCATATTGTAATTAAAAAAAAATTTTTTTCTTGAATGAGTAACATATATGCTGTGAAGATTTTTTTTGGTTGATTTAATTGCCCTGAGTGAATTGTTTTTATTTGGTCTGATTTGGTTTGAGGACCCTTATTATTTCTGTTTGAGCCTGTGTTAAAGACCCAGGTAATTAAAACTCTGCAGGATTTTATTTATTTGTGACTGATTTCCATATACTAGGGTCAATTGAAAAGTCCCCGGCCTGACACATAGATGGCGGCACCAGAACTAAATTCATATGATTTTCAGTTAGTCCTAACCTTCAAAAGACGCGTCTATAAATTTGACGGCTGTCGGATCATTAGTTTGTGAATTATAGCATTTTTAGTGAAGCAACTTTTGTTATTGTGAAAAAAATGGATAAAAAGGAATTTCGCGTGTTGATAAAATATTGCTTTTTGAAGGGAAAAAATACAGTTGAAGCAAAAACTTGGCTTGATAACGAATTTCCGGACACTGCCCCAGGAAAATCAACCATCAAGGATTGGTATGCTAAGTTTAGACGTGGTGAAATGAGCACCGAAGACGGTGAACGCAGTGGACGCCCAAAAGAGGCTGTTACGGACGAAAACATTAAAAAAATCCACAAAATGATTTTGAATGACCGTAAATTGAAATTGAATGAAATAGCAGACACTCTACAGATATCAACGGAACGTATACATCACATCATTCACGAATATTTGGGTATGAGAAAGCTCTGTGCAAAGTGGGTGCCGCGCGAGCTCACTTTTGACCAAAAACAACGACGAGTTGATGATTCAGAGCAGTGTTTGAAGATGATCACGCGTAATAAACCCGAGTTTTTGCGTCGATATGTGACAATGGATGAAACATGGCTCCATCATTTCACTCCGAAGTCCAATCGACAGTCATCGGAGTGGACTGCACACGATGAACCCGCTCCAAAGCGTGCAAAAACGCAACAGTCGGCTGGCAAGGTTATGGCGTCTGTATTTTGGGATGCGCGTGGAATAATTTTCATTGACTACCTTGAAAAAGGAAGGACCATCAACAGCGACTATTACATAGCGTTATTGGACCGTTTGAAGGACGAAATCGCCGAGAAACGACCGCATTTGCAGAAAAAGAAAGTCCTGCTTCACCAAGACAATGCACCGTCTCACAAGTCAGTGAAAACGATGGCAAAAATTCATGAATTGGGCTTCGAATTGCTTCCGCATCCACCGTATTCTCCAGATCTGGCCCCCAGCGACTACTTCCTGTTCTCAGATCTCAAAAGAATGCTCGTTGGGAAAAAATTTTCGTCGAATGAAGAGGTGATCGCCGAAACTGAGGCCTATTTTGAAGCAAAGGACAAATCGTACTACAAAAATGGTATCGAAAAGTTGGAGGATCGCTATAATCAGTGTATCACACTTGAAAGGAATTATGTTGAAAAAAACGAATTTTGCAAAAAAAATGTGTTTTACTATTTTAGGACGGTGACTTTTCAATTGACCTGTTATGTTTTGGAGCTGTTTTAGGTTGTTTACATGTGCACTTGTTTACAACTATACTGTTCTTAATTTCTTTTATGTACATTTGTTGGAGAACTTCAAACTCTCTTTGGTCAGGTGGATTCAGGAACCCACCGGTTCTTCTACCCTAGTTTTTTTTAGTTTTTTGTTTGACAGAGTGGCATCCGAATTTAGGAAATCGATTTTCCAGTTTGAAATTTTATTAAACAAAATTTTGTTTTCTTGTCTACTACAAAATAAGTATTTTTCAATACGATTTAAATTCAAAGTCACCAATAACCAACAAGAAATTTATTCAAATAAAAAACATGGAAAAATATGGAATCTTTCTTTCTTCGCTTTTTTCTATCGTAAAATCGTACACATAAAGCGTTGTTTTATGCAAACGGAATTGTAAATTATTTTGTATAAACATTGAAACAGCAATTATACGGATATACGTGCACCGTAATTTCTGTTTCACAAAGTAAATAAAATCATAATTAAAAAAATGTTTTTTTAACTTACGTCTTTTGTTATTTTCCCTCGCCCGTCAAAATCATATAAAGTAAACGAAAATTCTTGTCTATCCGGCTTATTATTGTCGGTAGCCTCCTCCAAGGAAACATCACACGAAAATTCCTGCAAAAATAATTTTTAATTACTACAACCGTTACACGTTTTTAAAAAGTAAAGAGTATGGCAGGGTAAGCATGGGTGAGATGCCCTTTGGGAAACTTAGGTCGATTTTTTTACCTAGACATTACATCACTAAGAGAAACTATTCCCTAAGTAATCACGCTCTTGCTCGCGTTAATTTTTCAAATAAATTAATCTAATTTTGAAAAAGAAACTTTTTTCGTTTATAACGTTACAAATTTTTATATTTTTTTTGTATACTTAGATACACTAAGGAGCTGTTTAACAAGTAATATTAAATATTTTTAATGTTTATTATATCGAAATAGTCGAAATTAAAAGATTTCAAAATTAAAGAGGCACTATCACAAACTTTTGTTTATAAATATACCCCTTTTCAAAAATTTTGCAAGGGTTCAATATCAAAAAAATTAATTACGATCTATACAGGGTGTCCCAGTTATAATAATTAAAAAAGAAACCATGGCTTCCTGACACAAAATACAACAAAAAAGTGTTATACAATTTTTCAATTAAGTGACAATTGAGCTCGCAAATCGTCTTTGTAAATTTGAACGTACAATTTGTTTCATTACGGGCCTGGATCTAGGCGACCAACGTC